ACTTCATTGTTCCATCCCATTCACCCATAACTTCCTTACAACCGAGCTATCATCCCTCACTCATCTCGGCTCACCTGTCGGTGGCTTGCAATCCATTAATCACTTCTTCACTAACGCATCATCTAGCTTACTTCATTTCAAAAACATCTCTAAATTTCTCCCTCGCCATCAAGCTTTTTTTCTCCTCAAAAACTTTTACTACATTCCTAAAATTCTTTACGCTCTTCGATCCACCTCAATCTTTAAATTTCCCGACTCACTAAAATCATTTGAAACTTCCGTCAAATCTCTTGCCGAAGAGATCCTTAATCTTCGCTTCAACCATAATTCATGGCTACAAGCATCACTTCCATGCAAGCTCGGGGCCATCGGCTTACGCTCACCTCTAACTCTTTCCATCAGTGGATTCATCGCCTCCCGCCTCTCATCTGACTCACACATTAGCCAGCTTTCTCACTTTCCTGACCCACCATTAGCTGAAGCCCAGACCATTTGGGACAATTCCGTTGTACCAAACACTCCTCGACCCTCCTCCTGTTTACAGAGAGACTGGGATACTCCACTCAATGAAGGCTCCGTCGCTTACCTAAAATCGAGCCTGACGACGATCTCACAGTCTTTTACCAATTAAACCAAGGATCGGGTTACGAGTTTCTGGAAACTATACCCTCCAACAACCTCGACTTGTTGCTGACCGCTGACGAGCTAAGATTTGCCATTGGATTACGGCTCAATTGCGAAATTGTTCTACCGTACCAATGCAAACATTGCGAAACCAGCGTCGATCGCAAGGGCAGACATTGCCTCCATTACCGCTTTTGCCGAGGCCGTTTTCCACGGCACACCAATTGCAATGACATCATATTGCGCGCTCTCAAACCCGCAGGCATTCCATCAAGACTTGAACCGACCGGCATTTTTAGATCCGACGGAAAACGTCCTGATGGAATGTCCTTGATTCCTTGGTCAAGGGGCCAGCTACTAGTCTGGGACTTCACCTGCATTGACCCAAATGCACCATCCAACCACAACGTCGATGCCCTCGCTCTAGCAGAAACTCGTAAAACTATCAAATATAGTTCCATAGACCCCTCTTTCTTATTCATACCTATCGCCTGCTCTACTCTTACCACCTTCGGTAGCAAAGCTCTAAGTTTTTTTAAAGAATTAGGCAAACGGATTCGGGAAAAAACCGATCAGCCTAAAGAGTCCCTTTTTTTACGACAAAGACTTGATACCGCCATCATTCGCTCTAACTACCTAAGTTTCATCTCTTCCATTGAATAATCTCCTATGTCTATGCTCTCTCTCTCCCTTCTCTTTCCTAGTTTCCATTCTTTTATCCCTTACCCTTTCGCAAATTATATTTTTATATTTTTTTACCTTTATTAATTTTACCATATAAAAAAATTTATTATTTGCTATAAACTTTTGATAACATATTATATCAGCAACTATTGAAATAAAGAGAGAATTTACCCGTCAAAAAAAAAAAAATTTATAAAAATATAAAATATTTTAATAATTTTTTTTATAAATGACATATAATTTAGTTATATTTCAGTGAAAAGAAAAAGATGCATTTAAATTAAAAGCCTAAATCAACTATTTTATCACAAAATCTTTGACTTAAATAATCATTTCGAACTTATTTTTTTGTCATTATTTTTAGTTATATACGTCATGCATAACTTATAAATAAATAAGGATTTTGATTAGTCCTATTAATATTACTTAGATTTTTTATTTGTTAATATAATATCTTTTTTTAAATCTATAATATATATAAAAGCCTTGTCACAACTGTGACATTAGTCAATTATTTTACCTGATAATAGTCAATTATAATTTTGTTAATATATTATGTAATATTCAACTTCTTTATTAATTATTGGACGTTTGTCCTACTTAAATAGGGAGTGATTCTTATAATCTATCTATCTATCTATTATAGCAATTTTAAATCTCCTATAAATCATGGAAAGCATTTCAGAAGTATTTTGAGGCAATAGGCAGGAAGGAACATTAGTATGAAAAAAATGTTTGCAGATAATCCTACAAGAGCTAAGGAATTCAAATCTATAATATATATATATTCAATAATAAAATCATCATAGCTTAAACATATCAAACACGCATTCATAAACCAAATCGAACCGCCATTTTCAAAAAAATAATTTCAATACAAAAAACAATTACAAAACATAATTATATAATAATTACAATAATTGATATTTTTTTTAACAGACACCACATCGAGCAAAACCTTCAATCATCATCTTCATCAATAAATTTTATTTTATACTTTCAATTTACACATCTGATTTCCAGTTATTTACGGCAAGTTACGAGCAAGGAAAACATCAAAAAAACGACACCACATCATCAGTAAATTTTATTTTATACTTTTATTATTATTACAATTAAAAAATAGTATTGACGTATAATTTTTTATATTTTGGTTTGTATTAGTATTAGTTTTGTAACCCAATAAAATATTGAATATTGTTGTCTGTCTTAGAATTTTATTGGTTTATTTATTTGAATGGGTTAATAAAATATATTATCAAGAGGTAATGACGTATAATTGTAAATAATATTGACATTGCTTTTAAACATGTATATATCTTTACTTTTAGATGAATTTATCAGTGATTGAGATTGGCTTAAGTGGTATTAGTTTTATATTTTGGTTTGTATTGGTATTAGTTTTGTAACCAAATAAAATATTGAATATTGTTGTCTGTCTTAGAATTTTTTTATCAATGAAAGCTTAACCCCCCCCCCCCCCCATCTATCACCTAACATATAAATTGTAATAATAATAAAAGAATACTTTTATTCATTGCCTATGAGATAACCTTAAAAAACTTATTTATAAGGTTATCTCATAAGCAATGTAATTTAAAATTATTATAAATACTATTTTATTATTTTTTTTAGATACCTACACAAGAATCCATTCAACAAAACCAAACAATAGAACGTTTCATACTATCAAAATCTAAAGAAGGCATTATTGCTTCAACAAGAGTAAATTTTATATTTTTTTTTATTTGTATTTTATGTTAGCTGATAGCCCGTCAAGAATGACGAGGAATCAGATTTTTCCTATCTTATAAGATGTGATTCCGAAATATATATTTATTAGGTGAGGGGCTATTCTAATATTTTCCATTATTTTTTATAAATATGTTTATGAAGTATATATTAAGTAATTTTATTTTATGTCCACAATAATAAATATTTTAAACTAAACTTATTTTTATAAAATTGAGTAATTCTTATATTTTTAAATTTTAATAATAAATCAACATAATGAGAAAGCTAGAAAGAGACAGGCACTTTGTCGTAGCAAGAAAAGTAACGAACCAAGTCCTAATCCTACAACATCCAAGTATCTTGAAGATACTGGAAATAAACAATTTGCTTCAACATCCAATCATCTTGAAGATACTGTAAATCAAGAACAAGTTGAACATTACTGTGGGCCATTAAATATTCTATGCCCATATTGTTATGCAGTAAATTTTATTTCTGAAAAACCATCTGATGGAAAATTTAAAAATTGCTGCCACAAAGGTCGTGTTTTATTGCCTTCTCTACAATATCCAGATTTTTTAAAAGATTTACTTTCAAATTTAGACAATCATTATTATAAAAATTTCTCTCAGAATATCCGCTCATACAACAGCTCCTTGGCCTTTGCCTCGATGGGGGCTAAAAATGATAATTTATTAAATAAAGGCCCATACTGTTTTAGGGTTCATGGTCAAATTTATCATCGAACTTCACATTTATATCCTCCTAATGGCGTTTTCCCCAAAATATGCACAATTATATGTTCTTGAAACATCTCAGGCTATTGAAAATCGTGTACTTTTAAAAGAAAATTCAGCCTGTGATATTCATTTATTAAAAAAACTTGATATTTTAATTCGTCAAATAAATCCATATGCTATTAGCTTTAAAACATTCGGTGAGGTTGAGAAGGCCGAAGAAATGAAAGCTAGGTTAGAAAACCGTCCTATATCAAAGGTAAATATGATTTTTCGCCGTGATCGAGCTAATGATAGAAGAAGATTTAATATTCCTACTATTGATGAAGTAGCAATGATTTTTAATAACGATGATGGAGAACCACCTTTTCAACGTGATGTTAAAGTTTATCCACGAAATGATGATTCAAATTTAGTTATCTTAAATATTCTTAGCCCAAATTTAGATCCTATGGTGTATCCTTTACTATTTCCTTATGGTGATCATGGATGGCATACGGATATGAAATTTAATGGGCCATTTAAAAAGGGAACAAGATCAAATATAACTATGTTACAATTTAAAATATCAAGGTTAGCTATTCGTGCTAACATTTTTAATCCTATTCTTTATGCTGGGCGATTATTTCATCAATATGTTGTTGATTCTTAGCTCCAAGTCGAAGCTAATAATTTGAATTATATAAAATTAAACCAATCAAAATTACGTGTAGAGGAATATTCAGGGTTTATGGATCATATTTCTAAAGCAAATGATAATACTAATTTACCTCTAGGAAGAGCCGTTATTTTGCCTCCTTTTCAGGGGTCCGAAAGAAACATGCGTGAACGATATCATGATGCTATGGCTATCGTTTCTAAGTTTGGTAAGCCTGATTTATTTATAACTTTTACATGCAATCCCAATTGGAGGGAAATTAAAGAAAATCTTTATAAAGGACAGAACCCTTCGGATAGACCTGATTTATTAGCTAGAGTTTTTCATTTAAAATTATCTGAATTATTACACGATATTATTAAAAAAGATTTCTTTGGCAAATGTTCGGCGTATGTTTATACCATAGAATTTCAAAAGAGAGGATTACCTCATGCTCATCTGCTCATTATATTAAGCGAAAATAATAAAATTGAAACAACCGAGTGTATAGATAATTTTGTTCGAGCTGAAATCCCAGATAAAAATATCGAACCCCGATTATATGATATTATAAAACTCGCTTTATGATACATGGACCATGTGGTATTTTGAATCCTCACTCACCATGCATGGAAAATGGTTCGTGTACAAAAAAATTTCCGAAAGATTTTCAAAAAGAATCTCAACACAATGCGAATGGATATCCATTTTATCAACGTAGAGATAAGGGTTTTATTCATGTCGGAGGTAAGCCAGTTGATAATCGATACGTAATCCCTTATAACAAATATCTATTATTAAAATTTAATGCACACATAAATGTTGAAATATGTACATCAATAAAATCCGTCAAATATATTTTTAAGTACGTTTACAAAGGATACGACTGCGCTAATATAGATCTTAAAACTAATTCGCTTCAATCTCATGATGAAATTAGAATGCATATAAATGACCGATATGTAAGTGCATGTGAAGCCATGTGGAGATTATTAGAAAATCGTATGCATGATCGATCTCACGGTATAAATCGATTAGCAATACACTTGCCATTTCATCAACCGGTATATTTTATAGAAGGACAAGAACGTCAGGCATTAGAGAAATCTGCCAGCAGAAATACTACATTAACTGCCTGGTTTGAATTAAATAAAAATGATGTTAATGCCCGTCAATATTTATATGTCACTATACCATATCATTATACTTTCAGCGCTAATAAGTGGAAACTTAGACAAAGACAAAACAATATAATTTCAAGGATGTATACTGTTGATCCTAAATCCGGCGAGAGATTTTTCCTACGTTTACTATTACTTCATGTTGTTGGCGCCACAAGTTTTGAATATTTGAGAACTGTAAATGGAGTTTTATATAATACTTTTAAAGAGGCGGCTTTTAAAAGAAATTTATTGGTTGATGACAAGGAATGGGAAGCATTTATGGAAGAAGCGTTAACATTTTTAATGCCCATACAGTTGCGTCAATCTTTTGCCTTTATTTGTATTTTTTGTCAGCCAGAAAATCCAAATAACCTCTGGGAAAAATTTAAAAAATATATGATAGAAGATTTCGCACATACCCATACAGATTCTATTGCAATTAATATGGCCTTATCAGATATAGAAAAAGTATTGCACGACCATGGTTTTCGTTGTAGTAATTTCAATTTGCCTGTTCCTACTTTAATAGCTCAGGATGATTTTTATAATAATGATCTTGAGGCAGCTGAGGCATTGAAACTAATTACTAAATTAAATTTTTTACAAAAATCAGCCTTTGATTTAATCGTTCAATCTATCGAAAATAATGATTTTCCTCAGCGTTGTTTTTATATTGATGGTCCAGGTGGATCGGGAAAACCTTTTTGTATAATACCCTAATGTGCTACATTAGAGGACGCAACCAAATAGTTTTACCGTTTGCAACAACAGGCATTGCCGCTATTCTTTTAAAAGGGGGTAGAACAATACATAGAGGATTTAAATTACCTATTCCGATTGTTGATAACTCTGTATCTCGCATGAGTCTTCATTCCCCTGATGCTACTGTTATTAAAAGGACCAAATTAATTATTATCGACGAAGCCACAATGATGACTAAATACGCTTTACGCTGTATCGATAGATTACTTAAAGATATAATGCAAACAGTTTTCCCATTCGGTGGTAAAGTTATATTATTGGGCGGCGATTTTAGGCAAACTTTACCTGTCATTCCAAACAGTTCAAAAGCATATATTATTGAATCGTGTCTTAAGTCTTCTGATTTATGGGTTTATTTTAAAGTTATCCACCTGAATGAAAATATGCGGTTATCTTCTGAAAATGTTAAGTATAATTCCTGGCTTTTGAATGTTGGAGAGTCTTTATCAAATGTTTACAATCCTTTACTCCCTCCAGATTCGATTGAAATCCCAAATTCATTATTAGAAAATTCATTAATCAAATCAATATATGGAGACTCCATACAAATATCTGATATTAACCTATTTTCAAAAAAAATTATATTAACCACTAAAAATAACATAGCCCTAAATTTAAATAACGAAAATATTCAACAACTACCAGGAAATTCTAAGATATATTATAGTGCTGATTCTATACAAACATATAATCCGGAGGATTTATTTAATTACCCCATTGAATTTCTTCATTCTCAAACCCCATCAGGAATGCCTCCTCATATTTTAAATCTTAAAGTTGGGACAATAATAATGCTTCTTCGTAACATGAACCCCAGAAGAGGCTTATGCAATGGGACACGCCTTTTTATCAAAAATTTACATGATAATTTTATAGATTCTGAAATATTATCAGGAACGCATAATGGCCATCGCGTTTTTATTCCTCGAATTGATCTATCCCCTAGCGATTCCCGGTTACCTTTCATATTAAAAAGACGCCAATTTCCTATTATTCCTGCTTTTGTTATGACTATTAACAAAAGTCAAGGTCAAACATTTGACAATGTCGGCCTCTTTCTTCCTGAACCTGTGTTTTCCCATGGTCAGCTCTATGTTGCTCTAACACGTTGCAGATGAAAATTAAGATATTACCTACAAAAAACCAGGGCAAACTTTTGAATGATAATAGAGTATTTACTCTTAATGTCGTATATCAGGACATATTTAATTCTGTCCCTACAAATTAATAACGATACCACATTGAGCTAAACCATCAAAGATCCGATACCATAATCAGTAAATTCTATTTTATACTTTCAATTTACACAATATATTTACAGCAAACTACAATCAACAAAATTTTGGGCAAGCGTTACCATGGAAATTAAAAAAACGAATCATATTGAGCAAAACCATCAAAGATCTGATACCATTATCAGTAAATTCTATTTTATACTTTCAATTTACACAATATATTTACAGCAAACTACAATCAACGAATAAGGCAAGCGCTACAACCATGGAAATTAAAAAAAGGAATCATAATGAGCAAAACCATCAAAGATCCGATACCATTATCAGTAAATTCTATTTTATACTTTCAATTTACACAATATATTTACAGCAAACTACAATCAACGAAATTTTGGGCAAGCGTTACCATGGAAATTAAAAAAACGAATCATATTGAGCAAAACCATCAAAGATCTGATACCATTATCAGTAAATTCTATTTTATACTTTCAATTTACACAATATATTTACAGCAAACTACAATCAACGAAATTTTGGGCAAGCGTTACAACCATGGAAATTAAAAAAACGAATCATATTAAGCAAAACCACCAAAGATCCGATACCATTATCAGTAAATCCTATTTTATACTTTCAATTTACACAATATATTTACAGCAAACTACAATCAACGAAATTTTGGGCAAGCGCTACAACCATGGAAATTAAAAAAACGAATCATATTGAGCAAAACCATCAAAGATCTGATACCATTATCAGTAAATTCTATTTTATACTTTCAATTTACACAATATATTTACAGCAAACTACAATCAACAAAATTTTGGGCAAGCGTTACAACCATGGAAATTAAAAAAACGAATCATATTAAGCAAAACCATCAAAGATCCGATACCATTATCAGTAAATTATATTTTACAATATAAGGCTTTACATAGAAAAATAAAAATAAAGCCAAATATATGTGAAATCATAAAAACTTTATTATTAGGTTTTTTTTAAAGTTTTCAACTTTTAATTCACCTTTTGGAAGTTTTGATGCAGGTTTTGAACGTAACCTCATCAGAATTTGGAATCGAAAATAGAACCCTCAAACGTGACCTGCAGGCCCCGTCCTAAGTCCGGCTATGACACACAGGACGGGCCGTGAGACCGGGTAAATTTTAAAATACCAGAACCGAGTATAAAAATTTTTATACCCGGGCCAGGATGTATATTTTAAAATCAAATCTTTTAAATCGCTATTATTAGCTATAAAAATTATAAATAAATATATTATATTTTTAAAAAATCTAGGCCAGACCCTGAAAATATAAAACCCGGGCCGGGACGCGACGAATTTTTTTTTTAAAAAATCCAAGCTGTGCCGCGCTATGTAAATAGCACGATTGCAAGTCTTTAATTTAAATATTTAGAAAATTTTGACTTGGAGTGAGTGGTAAATTTTTTTACCCCCCCCCCCCCCAGTGGTTACGCACCTGATAGCAGATATTCCGGGAAATAAACCATTTATTTTATCTTCTAAATATCTAAATTTTTATTTTCTTCTTCAAAGATTCGATCCCCAGAAAAGAAAAACAAAGATAACATTATTGAAATATTGAATAAAAATAAGGACAAAATTATAATCGTAAAAAACAAAAAATAAATTGGTATTTTGAAAAGAATATAGATACAAACATTAGGGGAAAAATGAAGTAATCTTAAAAATTTGGATCTGATTCGAAACCGGTCTGAAATAAAATCTTAAAACCAAAATCTACCCGAGTTCCGTCGATTTCGGATTTAAATCGACCCGGTTCAGCTGTAAGTATTCATTTTCAAAGTAATATAATCTTCTCAGGCTTAATTTTTAAAATATATTTAACCTTAAATTCGACTCATTCATATTATTTTATAGTAAAAAAATAGCCCTTAAGCCATTAAATAACTCGAAAAATCTGAATAAATGTTTATTTTATATTATTGAATAACAAAATTAAGTATATTCATGTTTGAAAAATTAAAATTTCATTTTATTATCAAATATGGTATGCTTCTTTGTTTAAAATACGCATATTTTTGTTATCTAAATATAAGTTTGGTGACCTGAAGGGACTGGGGTGGAGGGGGAGGGGGAGGGCATAATCTCCATAATTTTTCCAAGTTTTATCTTATAGAATATCTTTTTTTATATACCAAAACAAACAAACAGAATAACCTTTATTTATTTTTATTTATTATATATTTGTAATTTTTTTATTGTGCACCTTTAATATTTTATTTATCGAAAATAATTATTACTTATTAAATAAAAAGAAGTATAATTAACTAAAATTAGAAAATTTTATAATTTTTTATTTTATAAGATAATTTTATTTAATCAATGATGCAATATTGATTGATTTATTATATAAGATAATTTTATTGATCGATGATGTGCATTGATTTATTGTACCTTCAATTTTTTAGGTGTAAAATCAAATCACATATTTATATCCTATAAAGAATGTAATACCTCGCTATATTTAATTAATTAAATTACTAGAAAGTTATCAGCTATTATAAAACAAGAATCGTGAGTATATCTGCTTTATTTTAGGCAAGAGTCTTTCTTGACACTGTCATTTAATTAGCCCAATTTTTTTATATCCCTAATAGCTTATATTCCCAGATATATTTTTATTTAAAAATAAATTGAATACAAATAGTCGCGAACGCTACAAATATTGATTTTTTAAAAAAAAAAAAAATGAAAACAATAAAATAAAATACAGGCAAAAATTATTTTTTTTCAAAAAATGATGAAATATTTAAACAAAAAATTTGGACCTTCACATGAATAAAAATACGCAAAAATAATTTACCATAATTAGACAAATTCGGACTTTATTTTTGAAGAAAATAAACAAGAATAAAAATGAATTCAACCGCGATATCAAAAGCAGCTGATGATTCTTCTCAACATTCTAAGCCGGAAGTAAAACTGCTAAGACATGTGACCTTGATGGACGGTGTAGCTATTTTAGTGGGTAATTTATAGTTATTATAATATATTTTTTAAAATTATAATTTATTGTAACTACAATATTTTTTTAGTTTAAAAATATTGAGAATGCAGGGTGAGGTTAAATTTAGTCTTAATAAGATTAAGGGCAAAAGTTTTGATTATGACAATATCGCACTTTGTTAAAAAAAATTTAAAATTATTTTGGTCTCATTTCAAATTTAAAATTTAATTTATTTTTTAATAATTCGCAGCGAATTTTGAACTATGAATGAGGGGTAAATTAGAGAAAAAAATACTCCAAAAAAAACCTATTTTTATAATTATTCACTTTATCTTAAAAAATTTTTTTTTAAACAAAAAAAAATAATCAACCTAACCTTTTGATGTAAGGCCTATTCACAAATGAATAAATGAATTATTTGAACTCGACTCTTTTAAACAAAATCAAATAATATACTATTCGTATTCACGCAAATAATTAAGTTAATTCTATTCGTTTAAGGAATTTAATAGAAATACATTATTAGTGTTCAATTTTGAATAGGCCTACTCGATTTAAATGTAGAGATTTTATTCTTCAACCCAATCCCTTTCCGAAATTTATTAATTATTTAAAAAAGAATATATATAAAATAACACACTTAAAAGGGTTTGTCCTAATTCCGGTGGCTGATTCAGATTTCAAAAAATAAAAAACTTCTTTAATTCGATTTTAATTTCTAAAATATAAAATATTTGAAATTATTTCAATTTATTACGTTCAACTTACCTAAAAAAAAATTACACTCCATTCCCATTATTCATTATAAAAAAAAAGAATTCCCAGTCTGTCAGATCTTTTTAGGTCCCAAACCGGTCTTAATCTGTTCACATTTTTGAGTCCAGGCCCCGGGCTGACTTTCTAGGCTCTACACCTTGATGTGATCCCAAAAAAATGTATTAGAAAGATATTTCACTTTACAAACTAAATGTGTATACATAATAGGCAGCATGATAGGCTCGGGCATCTTTATAACACCGACCTCATGCCTAAAATACGCTGGGAGTCCCGGAGCCGCTATTTTGATATGGTTTGCGTCTGGGTGCTTAGCGATGCTTGGTGCTCTATCCTTCGCAGAGCTTGGCACTACTATAACAAGTAGCGGAGGAGAAGCTGCCTACATAAAAACGGCTTTCGGCTCAATGCCGACTTTCCTATTCATTTGGGTGAATGTATTAGTGGTAAGACCAGTGATTGTAGCCATAGTTACGGTCAGTTTTGGCGAATACGTGATTGGACCTTTTATTGGGAGCATCGGAGAATGCGACAGTGAGAGGAGGGACCAAATAGCTAGGTTCACGGCAGCCTTTGGATTATGTTAGTTTTATTTTTATTTGATTTTTTAAACGTAATTCGTAATTGTATAAAATTTTTTATAGGAGAGCCAGTTATTTCTGTCTAAAATGGTATTTTTTCCTACTCAGTAAGAATTTGAATACCAATTTTCTCCTAAAACCATGATTACCTAGACTTTAAAAAATTTATCAAACTAGTATTTAAATTTAAATAAGCACGCTTTTTTTATCTAAAAATTTTTATATATTTAATACCTCATTACAATAAAATTATGTAGGAAAAAGGTTCTAATTCTTTAAAAAGTAGGTTTTGGGGCCCGAAGCCCTCTAAAATTAATCACAAGACATTTTTTTGCACTTTTATGAACCTGTTCCTAAAAATTTTAAAATAGATTCAGTTTCCTGTTCTAAGGTTCCATCATCCTGTTTGAGGATTTAAAATTTTATTCCGGCGGTTCCCAAACTCTACAATTGTATTTGTCTCTTTTTAAAAAAAATTTATTATAGTCTTATTAATGATGATCAACTGTTATAGCGTTAAATTAGCCACTAAACTCCAAGATGTTTTGACTATAGCTAAATTAGTAGCCCTCGGTGTCATTATAACCATAGGCTTTGTTCGACTTGGTCAAGGTAATAATTTGTAAAATAATAATAAAACAATTTTTTTCCCCACTTAATTATACATTGGCAATGAAAAGTTTAAATTGGATTATTTTCACATTACTATTAAAACCGTGGAAAATCTTTGAAAATATTTAAATTGTTTAGTAAATTTATGTTGTAAATTGGAAACTATTTGTCTTATTTATTATATATGTTAGCGGCAATGTGTTTTTTTCCGACATTTTGTTATTTTTTCAACTTTGAATCATTTTTTGAGTTCGTTTTTTAAATTTAAAAATCTAATACTACCGGAAATATGTTCAAGCATGTTTAGTATACCTATCTTTTTGAATTATAGACAATTCTGCAGTTAACTTTTGAGTCATTTATAATTTATATAAAAAATTTATGGAAAAAATAGTATAAATTATATATTAAGTTCCAAAGTTCAATGGCGAAATAATCTGAAATTTATAAGGTAGGTATTAAAAATTTGATAAAATACATTTTACAGTAAAATTAAATTTTTTAATAATATAAAAAAGCGCTCAAATATTGATTTAAAGTTTAAAAAATAACACATTGCCGGACAAAGCACTTTGACGCTAACATATACATCTGAATGTTACTTTTTTTACTATAACTTTTAGTCAGTGGCTTAAGTGAAACAGTAGAACGCTGCAAAAAGGGGAACGGGCTATACCTAAAAACTTTAGATAACTCAGAAGATAATGATAGGGGCTGAAAAAGTTTTATTTTTACTATAGTTTCGTGGGGAAATTTGCTTACTGTTTCTACGCATAGTGTTGATAAACGGCTTGATTTGAGCCGAGTTGTAAAAACGGCTAACTCAATAGTATATCCAGAAAAATGCAAGCCTGATTTAGCTCTTAGTTGGCACAAAGGTTTGAACATCTATTAGCAAAATCTCATGGCTTAGGTAATATTTTTCTAGCTAAAATATTGAATTAGCTGTTTTTAAAAATCGGCTCATATCAAACCGTTTACAACACTATCTACACCATTGCGCTAAGTAATGACTAAAAGTTTGTTTCCTCCATTTTTATATTCTCCTTTCTTTTCTAAAGCTTGTAAATATATTTACATATATTTTAGGTCATACAGAGAATTTTAAAAACCCCTTCCAAAACACGAATGGGATCCAAAAGATTTCATTGGCTTTTTACTCAGGACTCTTTTCTTTTGGGGGCTGGTAATTATACTTTTTTTAAAAAATATATTATTTTTTATTATTATTATAAATCTAGCATGCTGCGTCCTAATTCATTTTGATTTTTGTCTTAATTATGAATTTTGATTAGGAAAGCAGTTTCGACGTCTTTTTTTGGTTTTATTGCAAATGGATTTTGGCATAAGAAATCACATTTTTAAAATATGCTTTAAATGCACTTTTGAAATCATTCTTCAGCTGTTAATATTATTTTTAAATAGAAAAAAGACTAACTAGGGCAGTCTGCTTAGAACAATATCTATATAATTTCTTGAAAAATTACAGGAATTTTCTAAACTTAGTGACGGGAGAAATGAAAAATCCTACAAGGTAAGCTTATTTATCAAAAATATTTATTATAAAATTAAATTATATTTTGAATATGCAAAGGCAGAATTTTTATTAGTTTATACTTAGAATTAAAGATATTTTATACGATCCTATCTAATTTATTAATTAAAAATTTGCTTATTAATGTTATTATTTTAATTTTAAGCTTATTTTATTAATGCAATCAGAATTTATAATAGTCCTCTATTATCTTTTCTTATAAAATAAGTTATCCATACACTTTTATCTGTCAGTTCAAATAATATTCTCTACCTAAATTATAGTAGGTAAAGGTTTATATTATGTTAGAAGAGTGTAAATAATTTTTTTTAGAATTCATTTCAGTCTTTCTTTCTTTCTCAAATGATAACTGGTAGATCCTATTCAGATCAGTCATATCGGAGAGTCCTAATATTTATTATCCATTATCTTCTTTTAAAAAACTGTATTTTTTTTGTATAATACGAATCGAGAGATCTTCCCCTCTCTATATTGATCGGTATGCCCATCGTGACCGCTGTATACGTTCTAACTAACATAGCTTACCTGTCCGTGTTGAGCGTCGAAGATATGAAACTTTCCAAAGCCGTCGCCTTTGTAAAAAATAATATTTCATGAACAAAATTATAAATTTAAGTTACTAGATAGAGCTTAATTTTTTATCCAGTGCCGGTATTGATGCCGGATCATATACTTTTATTTATCCCAGGGCGGATAACCGGACTTTATAAAAAAAAAAGTCGTTATTTAACTCTCTTATACTGAGAATGTAAATTTAATTCATTTAATAAATTTTTTAATTAATCGACAATATTCAATTATATACATCTAGTAGAGATCATTATTATTTTTGTGTTATAATTTATTTATTCATTTTACATCTTTCAAACAAAAGAATATAAAAAAAAATATTTTTGAACTTAGTTTAAATTTAAATAAATACTTTAAATAATATATATATAAGAACCGGTTAACAATAGGCATTTTAATAAATCGGCTGGATCTAAAGAAGAAAGATCTGGGTCCGTATGTTGTAATTGTTACATCTCCGATTATTACATACTCTCCTTAATCTTAACGATATAAACTAGTGGCATCATGGCCCAAGCACTTTGAACTTTGGAAAGTCCCTCTAAAATTTTTGTTGCAGATTAGTTTGTTTATTTTTTACTTATTTTTAAGATAGCCCTTAATTTTAAAAACGCTAGCTACTTGCTCACCCTAACTATCTAATGTAATATTTTTTGTCCAGAATATTCTTTTTTGTCATAGTAAATTTTGTTCGTGGATGACATCGAGTGATTAAATTTTTAAATTATATTTTTAATATTCTTTATTATTAATGGGAGTATAAGCATTTTCTTGTACTACCATTTCTAGTAAAGTTATTTAGAAGTTGTTTGTCTTCATTTTTTAGTTTTTTTTTTAAAAAAAGGACTTTGCTTCAAAGATAAACTATTACTTAGCGTGGTTCATGCCTATTTTCGCCGGACTTTCCGCTTACGGCACCGCCAACGCTGTGTTATTCACTAGCGGAAGGTAGCTAATATTATTCTTGGAACATAATTTTATGTGACCGAGTTATTAAATTATCAAATCAAATTTGCTTTAAAATTAATGTACGCTTAACATAATAGGATAGTTAAGATTTAAAAAAAAAATTATCCTAAGATTCGCGTGACGTTGAAATGATTTAGATAAAAATAATGAGTAGTTAATTAAGAAGATAGAAATCCCTCAAATAGAAATTTTAATATTTATATTTTAATCAATCGCACAAGAATTTATTACATCGGGGCCCAGAATGGTCATCTTCCTCAGATTCTCTCCATGATTAATATAAAATGGCTTACTCCAATGCCCTCTATTATAGCACTAGTAATAATATAAATTTATTTTTTTTGAACTCTTTTCAAACACTTTTTTATAAAAAAACCTTCTCTTTTTCCTTCCTTTTTCTCTTATCCTGTTAATACTTTTGATAATAAATTTGAAAAATATAATATACTATGATATTTCATTTCTAAAATTTAGTTATTATTATACAAAAAAAATTTTAAGACTTTGATATCGCTATTTTATATGACCGGGAAAGACATAATATCCCTGATAAACTTTATGAGCTTCATCTTCTACTTTTTCACAGCCATGTGCGTGGTGGGATTGCTGTATCTAAGATGGAAGAAGCCGGATATACCTAGACCGATAAAGGTTTGTTATTTTTTTAGGATAGAAAAAAGGAGAGGAGGAAGAAAAAATAGAGAATGAAGGAAAATAGAAAAATATAATTTTATATTATAATATATAATTTATATCAATTTTTAAAAAAAAACAGCTGAACGTGTTGATTCACTTGGCATTCTTGTTATCCTCCGCTTTTATCCTAATTACTTCTCTTATATCCGATTACAAAGATATCTCCAAGGGACTTTTAATGTTGTTACTTGGTATATTTACATATATCTTTATATTTAAAAATATTTATCTAAAGTTTTATTTTAATGATTCTAATTTTAAATTAAAACGCTAAATAATCTATATTTGGTATGTTTACAATATTTTGGCAATCTCAAATATAAATTGAAAAAATAAATAAGTACAGCATTATCGGAAATAGACGTTCAAATACAAATATCTTTAACGTTTAAATTGGCATCTTTAATTATTATTTTAATTTTTAGTTGCATTTTTTTGTAGCAAGAATTTTCTAGAAAAATAAAAATTCGGAAAAACGTCTCTCAGGAACCTTATATGTTTTTATTCAATATTTATTTATTAATATAAAAATATCGCTCTTTAAATCAAATTATTATCTTTAAAAGAATATATTTGGACATAAACAAAACATTCCCAATGTAAAAAAAAACCATACTTTGATGTTACCAATATTATAACCTAGAATTACATTTAGTAAATTTGATAACTCCGGCCAACTTCAAAACGGCTTAGCAAATCTTTTAGCCTTTGACTTAAATCTATAAATTGAGGCTTCAACTTAAAGATTAGGCTAATCTATTTTGTAGTTTGCCCAAAGTTAGGTCTTTTAACCACACCTATCTAAAAATTATTATCATTTTTTTGTATACATTTTTTTAAATTCAACAAGGTATACCGGTTTACTACCTATTTGTCAAGAAATATCTGATACCTAGATCATTTTTTAAAACTTTCGGTAAAAATTGATATTAAAATATATAAATATTCTTTAAAATTATTTAATAAGAGTGGTAGCGAATAAGTAGGTATAGTTGGGTGATGGCTAAAAAATTGCTTTTTGGAGCGTGTGACGAAGGAAAGCGGCTATGCATTGAGTTGCTAATTAAAAAATTTTTTTAAATTTTTCTTCAAAGTTGAGCTATATTTATAAGAATTGTAGGGGACACCAGATTGACTCCTCTTTTTAGAAGTTTGTTTAACCATTTAAAATTTAGGAGTAAGTAATACCAGAATGATACTGAGTCTGTATGTTAATCCTGCTCTTTAATTCCATTCTAATTTTTTGTAAATTTAGCTGGTCCCTCGGAAAGGGTAGCCACGTTTCTATAATTATTAGAATTTTTTCTCGTCAAATCATCTAATTTAAAGTTCTAGTTTATAAGAATGTATATTTTTATTTACCTTGTTAATTAATTAATTAATTTATTTGTTTTTTTTAAATAAAAAAAAAGATAAATTTACAAAATGGATTCAAATGTTATTCGTAGTGGTTCCTTCCGAAGAAAAGGAGAACGATCCGTTGTCATATGGGGAAGAAACTATGAGTCCATTATAAATTTAAAGGAACTATAATTCATATGTCTGTTCTTTCTTGTGATTGATATTATGCAATGTATCAAAAATTATATATTTAATATAGATTTAAAATCGTTTATCCGTGGATTTATATTAATAAGTTCAGAAATTGTTTTTAAAAACATATATATATAGAATAAAAAAAAAATTTATACAGGCCTTAACAGAAACTAGGTCTGGTTTATTTCTTTTTGGCTCGGCTAATATTTTGGGAGCGATTAATTAATTTTGTATTAAGAATAGCTTTAAATATAATAATATCAAAAGTCAACAAGTATCACTGGATTAAATATTTCGTAAAAGAAATAAACCCAACATAGGCTTAAGAAATATATTCTCAAATAGTGCTCAACAATCGCGCCACTAACTTTTTAAAATTTATGTGAGCTTCTATTTTACCAAAAATTTTAGTGGGGATGGGGGGGGGGGGTCTCCAAAATTTTTAAAGGGCTTGACTCTGTATGCCCACACGACCCTACTCGCGCTCATATTATATTATACAATATAATTATTTATGGATCGTCATCATTAAAACAAAATTTTCGGGGATGAATATTTTAATAAATTTTTAAATTCAAATATATTGACTGCCTGACTTAAACAGGGGAAGTGGATGGAGGCTATATTATACTAGTTTAAAATTATTATTGTTTATTTAGGTTCCACGTCTTTATAGAAAAACCATTATAGAGAATGTATTTTAGAGAAACATGAGAAAACAATTATAGAGAATGCATTTATAGAGAATTGTTTTATAGAGAATGTAGTTTATAGTGAATGTTTTATAGAGAATGTTTTATATAGAGAATAATTTTTATAGGTAATTAATTTATAGAGAATTGTTTTATAGAGAATGCCGTTTATAGAGAATGGTTTTGTAGAGAATGGTTTTATAGAGAATGTCGATTATAGAAAATGATTTTAAAGAGAATTATTTTAAAGAGAAGGTCCTTAATAGAGAATGACTTCAAAGAGAATAATTTTATAGAGAATGTTGTTTATAGAGAATGATTTTAAAGAGAATTACTTTTATAGAGAATTATTTTGTAAAGAATTACATTGTAGAGAATTATTTTGTAGAGAATTACATTGTAGAAAATTATATTCTAGATCTTGATTTTATAGAGAAATATTATATATTGGACAATTATAGAGTTCTAAATTTATGCGGGATTTGAAAAATATATCAAAATTAACATTTTAATAATACAATTCAGTTTGTTGTATTTTTTCGATGACTTTATTTGTCTCAACAATGGTTTTTTTGTAAAATCCTTTTAGTTTATATCAAGGTTTAGCTTGATTATTAACTCAGCTAAACCAAACTTGAAAAGATTTTTTAAATATGTATTAACCGTTATTAAAGAGAATCTAAACTGAACCAACCATTTTTAAAATTTTTATATATTGCATTTATATGTCAGCTACCTAGATTAGCATATAGAAGGGTTCTTAACTTTACCCTTATGGATATAATATGACGGACGAGAATCTTGATTCTAATTTTAATTAAGAAAAGGTTTTAACCAGTTGTTTGGGTAAAAAATATGTAACATTCCCGTTCGTTCTGCGTTTTAAGAACACGTTTCTAAATATAATTTTCTTTTTATTTTATTATACAAATTTTATTCATAAATCTTTTTAATATTGATAACTAAGAATTCACTATTAATACACATTTAGATGTATCCGATGGCTTTAATATATTGAGTGTCGAAAAGTGCCGATCTCTATCTGGGGTTCCACAACCAATATTTTTGATTTAATAGAAGAACCATAATTTTGTCCTACCTAAAAAACCAAAACCGTCAACTGAAGGTTTCTATATAAGATATTTTAGCGAATGCATTATCGCGAATGTATTATAGCGAACGCATTACCGCGAATGCATTATAGCGAGTATAATACAGCGAAAAAATTATAGCGAATGCATTATCGCGAATGTATTAGCGCGAATGCATTATCGCGAATGTATTAGCGCGAATGCATTATCGCAAATGTATTAGCGCGAATGCATTATCGCAAATGTATTAGCGCGAATGCATTATCGCAAATGTATTATCGCGAATTCATTGTCACAAATGCATTATCTTAAATGAATTATATCAGTTGCGATATCGGGAATGGAGTTTGTTGAAAACTGCAATTTTATATTTATCAGCCTTTAGACAGAATTAGTTGAACCTGGAAATTAAGATAAAGTCGGACAGGCTTTTGATTTTTTGACTCAAAAAATATATAAAAGATTCTAAGCAATAAAAAGATTTCTCTAAAGATTAGGGTAAAGGAATTAAATTTTTATATTAATTGATTGTTTAAATATGCGTTTAGTTTTATTTTTCAAAATTTGGAACAGAACAGGCTCAGGCCTAAAATTTAAAATTATGGCTAGGCTCCTAAAAATAAAGATTTTGGATGGAGCTTTGGCCGAAATAAATAAAATTTGCAAGGCACTAAGAAAAAAAGTTTTATTTAAAACATTGAGCCAAACAGATAATTAGACTTCGGATTTATATTAATCTTTGACAAAGCATGCTTAATTAGTGAGGGATTTAGTATGGACTTGATTAGCATTTTGATAATAAATTTGTATAAAGTTCTCTTATTGTTTAATAAAAAAGACAAGGTCAAAGCTTATCACAACAAGACATGAAACAATATTCAACATCATAGGTAGATTGTCGAATTGAATTTCTATCCATCTCAGTACTTAATTCGTGTAATCTCTGATGATGAAATTGCAACAATTGTGACTCAGGAATTGGGAAAAAAAATAGATTATTGATTTCATTAATTGATTCTTGCTAAGTTCTTGCTTCCTGACGAGTCTTTTTTCTAATTATGTGATCAAATACAAATTTGTATAAAAATGGATATAGAAATATAATTAATATAAGTAGAGCTGAAATTGAAGGAAATAAACATGCCTCATATATTATTAAAAATAACTTAGCTATTTTTAACACAAATTATAGTATAATTCCATTTCAGTTCAGTTGCTATATATTATTAAATCTTATGAATGTCATAAATTTTATTAGAGTGGCGATAATAGTGATTGGACGTTACTGTCATCGCTGAAGATGAGAAAATTTAATGGAATAAAATATTTACTTTGTGAGTTTTACTTCAAGGAGTAGATACAACCCTAAAAAATCGAAAGGTGGAAAATATCTCTTTTTACATTTTCTATGCCTTCATATTTTTTTAAATGTGTATTCTTCAAGACTAAAAGAGGTTTAGAAAGATTTAAAATAAAGGTTTAAAGGCAAGCATTGACGGATATTAAAACTAATTAAACAAGCTGAAGCGAACTTATTATTCATGATTGCACTTTTTACAGTATAAAGCAAGGCCCTATAAAAAATATATAAGAAAAGTAAGATATCTGTCGCAGGAAGCGTAGATAATGAAAATCCTTATATCCTGGAAAATAAAAATATTGCTATCATGAAAATTTTTTTACTAAGAAACACCCCCCCCCCTCCCAACAGAAAAGTTTAATAAATAATTAGCCCCATGATACGAAGAAATTTAAATATTAATGATAATTATACTTACTTATAACCAGATCTATAGACCGACTACCAATAATAAAAAGACGCTTAACCATTCAAACAATGTTAAACAGGACCTTTTATTACATGGGAAGGGGTTATAACTCAAGATTGGCATTGAAATTAAAATGGGTAGTTTGTATTTGGAATTCCATTGTTCTAATTTTGATGTAGTATAAAAAATGAGGAGAGTGGGGGAAGAAGGGGATAGTATTATAATATATGATGCAAAATCTTTTGATAATTAGGTATTTAAAATATCTTCTAAGTGTAAAAGAGTTAGTAAAATATTGTGCAATCTGCTGCAAATATCAAGCTTCGATATTTTCTAAAGAAAGACATTACAATGCGATGGAAATCAGTGTATATCAATGATACAATGCTTCATATAATCATATGATAATACAAGTTTGTCTGTGAACCAACCATATTTAAACAAATTGGTATCAATAAATATAATCCTTATATATGAATAAAAATTTTTTTATACATATTAAAAGTCTGATCTTCGGAATGTTTAACAAGTGCAAAAAACCTATACATTTTAAACTTTTTGATTCATCTTTCTTTACATTGCTAAGGAGTTTAGGCTTGTAATAAGAAATTTTCATTTTACTAAAATCAATTTAGAGAAAAAAGTGTATTATTTTAAATTTGTCAATGATGAATTTTAGGTAAGGGTTTGAACTATCATTTTGTATTTTGTAAATTCAGATACAATTATTTTCGGACCTATGACAATTTTGACAGAAATTGATCCAACCACCCCCTGGTCTTCCCTGCCTACCCTGTGAATATTAGACAGTACTCTAGTGATCTTTTAACTAAACTTAATTTTGGTAAGGCGATAGTTTGATGGGTATTGTTTTATTTTTTGTTATTATTTGCATTTAAAATCATTAATTGAGTGCGTTTTATTAAATTTAAAAATCTGATTTTGCCAAAAATGCACCAGAATAAGTGTAGAATACACACCCTTAATGTTGCGCAGTCGGTTAATATTAGCAATTCCAAAACGGTTAGCCAAGTTTTTAGGTTAAAAAATCGGCTAAGCATAATTAGGCTTAGCATCGAAATCTAATTATTCAAAAATTAGGCATCGGCTAAGGAGCTCGGTTAATCACCCGTCATATATCGTTACATAATAAATATATAAAATATTTTAATAAAGGCTAGGCTTATTGTTGCGTAACGCTGACGGGCGATTAGCCTAGCTCCCATTTTGTCTAATTAGTTTTAGACGATTTTTCGGTTAAGCCAAATTATGTTTAGCTGATTTTTAGGCTACTAACACTACTTATAAATTTCAGATTAAAATTAAAATTTCTTCAGAGATTTAATATAAGATCTTCTGAAATTTATAGGGTGGGTATTCTGCACATATTATAATGCATTTTCGGCAAAATCAGATTTAAAATTTAATAAAACGCGCTCAATTTATGATTTAAAATGAAAAAATACAACAAAATAAAATTATTAAATACAAAAATTTTGGCGCAATCGTATGAAACAGGATAGATAA